ATCCGAATTTTTAGAAATATTGTTTATAAAGTATCCTGATTCTAAATAAACAAATCTCGCAAAATAGTGTGTGTGTGTGTGTGTGTGTGTGTGTGTGTGTGTGTGTAAACGACAGGCGCAGACTTTCAATTTTGATTGGAGAGAGCGATGGATAAAAAAAATGCGCGTGTTTTTATTATGAGTAAAAATTTAACATAATTATTATGAAACGAACCAATATAATATTTAAAATTATGGAGCGGGGAAGTTGTGTGGGTGAGCACTGACTTCCAGAGCTCTAGGGTACAGGTTCGAATCCGGCTGACGACTTTTGAGGGCGGGGTGGCCGAATGGGCTAACGTGTGTGCACAGCACTGCGAGTTTCCCGACAACAAGATAACTTAAGTTATGAGATTAAAAACAAAATTATGAGTTCGCGTTCCGGTGCCGGAGGGGATTTTAAATTCTCTGCCCTCACCCTACGGCCCGGCAAAATAGCCTAAAAGACGAGGTAGGGAAGAACAAGAAAAAAATTTTTTAAGTTAATTTGTTATATGTGTCTGTATAGTTGTAAGGATTTTTATTTTTTGTTATACTTATTATATATATTTGAAAATATCTAAAAAATATTGAATTTATAATGTATATGATCAGATTAAACGCAGAGGGAGGAGGGGGGGGGGGGAGAGATAGCCTTCATAACATTGGTACGTTTCTAGAACGTTTTCAGCTAAAAATGAATAATGTAAAAAAGTTAAAAATATCTTTGATTTCTTAGTTTGTACAACCTCAAATAAAAATACATCAAATAAATGTTGAAAGATTGGAGAATGAGGAAATATGTATGGGATGGTACAGTTTTGAGTTTAAAGAGAAGTCCCTGATTCCAGACTTTATCGAAAGCCTGGGTAATATCCAGGAACACTCCAGTTGCGTATTGTTTTTGCTCTAGTGCTCCAGTAACGTAGTCAGTAACTCTTTTTAATTGTTGTGTTGTTGAATGGAACGTGCGAAAACAGAACTGATGGTTAGCAATTATATTTTCCTCCGTCATTATGTCAATCAATCTTTGGTATATTTATTTTCCGAAAAGTTTAAAACATACTGGGAGAAGATTTGTCGGTCGGCAAGATGAGGGATTGAAAATATCTTTCTCCTTTTTGAGTATCATTTGGATGTGCGAATATTTCCATTATAGTGGGGATTTATTTGTCAGTATACAGTTGTATATTGTTGTAAGGAAAACTAGTGCTTACCTGGCCATTTGCTGGAATGTTGACTTTTAAAGTATTGAATGGAAAATAAACGTATTGTAAAAACTGAATGCGATTTTCATTGAAAATAAATGGTAATTAAAATCGAGCAAAATATGAATAAAATTTCTAAAAACATTTATCACTCAACAGGAAGCAAATGTTTCTATGGAAACTAAATGGGAATTCCATGGAAAATAAGTGATAATAAACATCATCATTTACGAAAAAATTATGAATAATAATTTATGAAAACTAATATTATTTAACAGAAACCAGATGTTTTCATAGAAATTAAATGAAATTTTCAAAATAAATATAAAATTTTATAATTATTAACCTCGAAAGATACACAAATATATAATGTATCCAATATTTTTAAAACTATTTTATGGCTATTTTCAAAAGTGGGTACCGCTTGAAATGTTTCCAGCGACTGACGGATCTATGGGGGGAGGGGACTTTCGGGCTGAAGCCCCCCAAAATGGTTAAATATAACCATGCTTAAAGAAAAAAATTATCTCTAAATGTGTTATTGTTCGTCTATTTACATTTAATAGGACTTAAATAAAGAATCATTTAAACATCATTTCATATAATATATAAGTTATTATCCTTATTTAAAAATACCAAAAAAAAAATATATCGGGCTGAGGTCCACCTAAAATTAAATCCTGGTGTTTTAAATAGTGTTTCCAGCTGTTTTACGGGTTGAGGAAACATATCAGTTGTTTATTTAAATAGTGGACCAAAATAATCTTTGACAATTTTTCAGAAAACGCGAAAAACTATATTTTCTATTCTAATTATAATATCAAAATCAATAATTTATTAAAAATAAATTAAGAAATATTGATTTGTAATATATATATATATATATATATATATATATATATATATATATATATTATATATATATATATATATATATATATATATATATATATATATATATATAATAAATTCCCATATACCAATCCTCATAATCCAAAACCCTTCATGAAATTCCTAAAGCTCCTTATTAAGAAATAAACAAAATTATCCACAAAGACCTTAATATTCCTATAGTTGAAGACTTGGTCCGAATTAGATATTCTTCTTTTAATTCCAAAATCAGCTTAGCTCTTTGGTTAATAACCATTCATCAAAACAATTCCTGACAACCCTGCGAGGTGTCTGAAAAGAAGATGGATGGAAGACCTCCTAAATTAATCTAATCATTGAAGTGTTACCAATGGGTAGCTTCTTCACAATTTCTTATCATATTTTATTTCATTTAGCAGATTTACTTGTTGTATATATTTATACAGTTGTAAATACCAATATAATGTTTACGAATTACAATACCTGTATGTTTGTTAATAATGGACAAAGTTCAATGATGTTTACTATGCTAATTATACTAGGTAAGGAAAGTATTGCGATCGGGTCAAATTTCCTATATGCAATTTTCGATGGATCTTTAAGTTTCAGAGCGCCCTGAGTCCGAAAAACACATTTTTAATCATTGCTCTGTCTGTCTGTGCCAAGATTTTCTCAAGAACACTTGACAAAAATCGGGTGCTCCATGCGCAATAAATGAAAAACATGTTTTTATGCGGACTGTAGCGCGAAAACGGCTCTAACGATTTCTATGAAACTTTCCTATAATTTTCTAATAATTTTAAATTATCTTTTCCGTAAAAGGTAATGCAATTCCCTACAAAACTACATAAAAATCGATCATTTTGGACAATTATTAAAGAAGTTACAGCTATTCAATTTCCAATGTAAGATTATGGATTCATAGTCTGGTGTCGGAAAGGGGTGAATGAGAGAAAAATAGGTGACTAAGTGAAAGTAAGGAAATCTGTTGCCCGCATCACACAAGCTTCACGATTTTTTCCACATTTAACAAAAGTTATTGTGTGACAAAATTAAGCTACGGCAAAAAGTTTTTGTTCAGCAATATTTGAGGGTATTGAAATTTTAGGTACATTTGAGGTTTACATTGCTTTAGTTTATCAAACAAATTGTACTAAAATCTTTTCTTTGATACGTTTTCAGGAACTTATGGACATTTGTAAAGATACAAAAACTTTTCTGAAATAGGTAGGAAAGTAGTGTGAGTGGACACAACATATTTTAGTTTAGTTGTTTGGCAATAATAACTTCCAGTTGTTAACAATTGAGTATATTTTACTATTTTTTAGTATATCAACGTTACATGTTAACAGGCTAGTTTACGTTTCGGGACCTTTATTCCCATCTTCAGAACTGCAATTCCAATACTCTTGTGGATGCAAGGCTAAACATTTTTTAAGTTACAATATTGTGCTTGTTACATTACATATTTGAATTATGTTTGTTACAATGAATTTGTAATTACCTTAATTTTAATAATAATAATAATGTGCTCCATCGTCAATTTTCTAATTTATGTTCTAAAATTTATCATCAAGAGCGACATCCTCCTTTAGACCAATAATTGGGTTTTTGCCATAGTGAAAAAATTGACCTTTGGATCTGACTGTTTTATCTGACTATTTTGATTGTTGTTGTTAGTGTTTATTTTATGTGTCTGTGATTTCACTTCTATTAAATTTTAAATTTGTTCAATATGTCTGTATAATGGGTTCCTAAATGTTTAGTGTCTGTTTTGTAGTTGAATGTTGTTCTGTTGTTTTTTGTAATGTGTATTGCTTCAAGTAATTTTCTATTGGTTTTTTTGGTTCTGTGCCTATTATCTGTGGTTTGTTAAATTTAAATTTATGCTGTAGTTTTATACTGTGCTGTGCTAAGGCTGTTGTGTTTATGTTGTGTTAATAACATATTTTAGTTATTGTGATGAATGTAATAATCTTTCAAACAATCATTGGTGCAATAAACAAAAACTATTCGCAAATAAATTTTCTTATTCTTCTCACTTTTCTTATTCATTTTGAAATTTCTGGGCGATGTTTTTACCATCTGAAGATGTAAGTAGAAGATGTTTAAAATTAGGGCATAATCGTTAGATTCGATGAAGAATTGACGTATATGCAGTACCAAAAAAAAAATAAATTAATAAAAATTACTTTTCAAAAAATAATAGTTGATTGGAGTGTTCAGTCACAAGCAATAAAGTAAAAATAAATAAATATAATTTATTTATTTTTAATTTTGAACTGCACAGTCCAACCAACTCCTCTTTAATATATCCACGACATTCGACTATTAATCCAACAGTATAGGAGTTTCGAATTTGGCTCGATGTGTAAAATATATAAATCGTGAAGCACTATACCATAGTGTTATGAAACGCGAGACTTACGGATCTCATAGAATAAAACTCTCCCAATCCCTATACAATAGCAACATCAATACTAAACAAATACTGTCACTGAGCGGCGGCGAGCAGATAAGAAGTGTGATAAAATATTTTAAAACAACGATTAAAGATGTATTTAGTTTATTATGACTTAAAAAAAGCTATCTACCTGGCTTTATAGATTCATCCAATGCCATTAAAATAGAAAAAAAAAAATATATTAATCCTTTATGATTAACTAGATCTATTTTAAGAGAAATTTGATTACATAAATAACCTGCTGTATGAGAGTTTTCTGATTAGCACTACACCAGATTGTATATTAATATGGAATAATTAATCAATAAATTCTTATCTTTATTTCAAATCAAAAATTGCGGATCGCGATAACATACCTAAGAGAATATTCACTACAACCAAAATTAAAATATATTTTGCACATACTATATTAACGTAATATTTAAATGTACTGAACATACCTGTATATATGTATATGTATATGTATATATATATTGAGGATGCGAACTCGAAGATTATACAATACCAAATCCTGGCAGAGGAGACAGGGACTGTTCGCGGGCAAGGCCTGAACTGGACTGAGCTCTTTGAAGCCAACTCTTGCTTCTCGCGTCAACATCATCAACTCTACTCCCAATCCCTTTACCGAATTAAACATGGAGGATGTTTATTGTGTTATTTTGTTCCAACTGTTAACATAAATAGCAGCATTTGAAATGAAAAAATCTGGTGCGCGCAACACACAACTTTTACTTACCGTTCTACTTTGAATAGAAATTATTTTCTGGCAATGCTGGGCTATTATAAACTTTTTTGAAATGCATTTTAAACGGAGCTAAAGCTTAAAGCTTACAGAAAACAAGTCATTAAGACCATTATAATTACAAAATGTCTATTTAATACATCGGCGGTAGGCAATAAAAATCTAGTCACTCCATCTGCTTTTATAAACCACAGAATGACTAACTCCAATTTCAACATTTTTGAGTAATGTCATTTTAGTGATATTTTTAGATGAAAAAGTTATCTATGCAGACAATGAGTATGTTGATTCCAGAGGTGGTGATTGCAGTGTTGAAATATAGAACCGAGAATAAAAGTATAAATTTAGGTACTAATTTCTTATGAAAGACACAACAATTAAAAAAATGTATTTTAAATTTATCCAAATTTTCACCTCTTCAGGGAAAATAACTACAGACCATATCTTTCCTCCTATTTGTCCAATTTTAACGATATTTTTTTTTGGAAATTCCATAAACTTTTAAAAGCTATAAATTTTTAACTAGAACTAGTATAGTAGAAAAATAAACTAGAAACGTCACTAAAATTAATAATAAAGAATGTTGAAATTGGGATTAATCATTCTGTCAACCTCAAGGCTTATTTATACCTAGAGAGGTTTGAAAGTATATCTGAATGTTTAACCTATAAATGATTATGGATTGTAAGATTATTAGTTATTAATTTATTTTCCATTGGATCCAAGTGGATTTTAAACGGAGCTAAAGCTTAAAGCTTATAGATAATAGACAACAAATCATTAAGACCATTGAAATTACAAAAAGTCAATTTATGATATCGACGGTAGGCAATAAAAATCTACTTACTCCATCTGCTTTTATAAACCACACAACTTCAGTATCTGAGCCTTTCAGTTGACAGAATGACTAACTCCAATTTCTTTTTTAGTAATGTTATTTTAGTGATATTTCTAGTTGAAAAAGTTATCTATGCAGACAGTGAATAAGTTGATTCCGGATTTGGTGATTGCAGTGTTGAAATATAGAATTGAGAATAAAGGTATAAATTTAGGTACTTATTTCTTATGAAAGATATTTTATTAAATATCTGTAGAAAAGAGGTTTTTTAGTCTCAACAATTAAAAAGGTATATTTTAAATTTATCCAAATTTTCGGCTCTTCAGAGAAAATAACTAGAGACCATATCTTTCCTCCGAATTGTCCGATTTTAACGAATTTTTTAGGAAATTCCATAAACTTTTAAAAAACCAATACTATATCGACAAAAAAGTGTATAATTTTTGATATATTCGGAATTTAATTTCACCATCCCTTGTAACTGTTTTTGCAGCTTCTTTTCGTTGAAATATGTTACATAGATAAATTTAAAGGGTGTCGAGAAAATGACTTTAGCTAAGTTTCATAGAAATCGGTATATTCTTTAAGGCGCTACAGTCTATAGCAACACAAGTTTTTCTGCATTTTTATTTTTTTTCTCTTTTATTAACTTATCAAATTCTTTTAAAAATTATATGTAGCATTTTTTCGTAACAATAATGCGAAATGGTTAACTTTTTAAAATAAATCATATTAAAGGTACTTTAGAGGAAGACATATATGAACTTTGGGCATTTAAGCCCTGTAAAGTGACATCAATTTGAATAAGACCTAAATGATATTAAATACCACTTAATTATACAATGATACTCTGAGTTTAATCAAAATCGTTGAAGCGGTTTTTGAGAAAATTGTAAAAATGTGTTTCCGCGTTCATATAAAGTGGCACTTCCGGTAAGCCGATTTTAACAAAAAAGTTGCTGTCACATCCGGCTCATATACAAACCTTAAATACTTAATATCAGTTTCGAACTACTTTTCGTTTATAAGTTAGACTGTTAACACACACAGACCATTTTGCGACACTTGGTTATTTGGACTCAGGGGACCTCAAAACATGTATTTCCGTTAAAAACTGAGATTCGAAAATTTTCGCGATCGCAATACTTACCCTTACTATATATTACATATATACGTAAGTGAAAGTAAAAATCACTTTATTTTTAAACAGTTTTGTATAATATAACTTTTGTTTTCGATAGATTTTCAGTTCATTTGGAACTTTTTTCCAAAATGTTTCTATATTCTTTTTTATGTAAAGATTGGACGGGGTACCGATAAGTTATAGTAATAGATAAAAAGAAACCTTTTGATATTTTTTTATTATCATGTAATGCTAATAAAATGAGAAGAAAGAAATATTTGTGAAGATTTGGAGAAAAGAGAAATAAAACAAAATATTTTTTAAAATTTACCTATCTTTAATTTTTATTTATTGTGTATACTTTTTGCTTATTATTTAGTTATTATCTTGCTTCTGTTTATTTTATATTTATATTTTATAACAGCTGGCAAGAGAACACGCAGGAGGTCAATAAGCCTGATAGAGGGTATTACGAAGGGATATTATGGACGTTGGGTATCGATTTCAAAGAAGATTTTTTGGGTAATAACAGGTTGAAAAATATTAGAACCATGACCAGAAAGAAATATTTCATAAACTTTTAATATTTTATTATATCATTGTTTCCTGTCTTTATTCTGCATGGATTTCATTCGATTTGATTTTTTGTGCAAAATAAAAAAAAAAAAAACACTGCAAATTATTTCACAATGGTTTATTATCTCCAAAAAATTATATATCTAAAGTAACATTACCCTCCGAGTTACAAAGAAAAATAAAACAAAAGGTGATTCCAATTATTGGACTAAACTGTTCATTAGTAATATGCTAAAAAAAAAAATAGCATTAGTTCAGTTGCACATTTAAAATTTAAAAACCAAACCAAGGATATACATTTGGAGTAGAACATATAAAAAAACCGGAGACCATATCTTTGCTCCTAATTGTCCGATTTTAACGATTTTTTTTTTGTTTTCTAGGAAATTTCGTAAACTTTTAAAAAACCATACAATATTCACAAAAATGTGTATACTTCTTGAGTTATTCGGAATTTAATTTTAACATCCCTCGTAACTTTTTTTCTAGCTTCTTTTCGTTGAAGTATGTTATATAGATAAATTTAAAGGGCGTCGAGAAAATGACTTTAGCGAAGTTTCATTGAAATCTGTACATTCGTTTAGGAGCTTCAGTCTATAGCCATTTTGAAAGTTAAAGACGGAGAGTAATGTCGATGAAGGAGGATCATCCTCGGGTGACCTCTGATTTTATATCAAAATTTGAAAAAAATCGGTCCAGTAGTTTCGGAGAAAATGCGCGGACGGCGTACGGCGGACGGACAAAAATTTTTGTATTCGTTTTTCGAATTCTACGCGTCTTGAAACGTGAAACCTCAAATTTTGAGAGGGGGTTATGTTTTTGAATTTTTTGGTCGATCACAATGTTTCATTATTGAAAATAATAAACCAAAAAATTGCTGATTGACAAATTTATGATCAATTACAAAAACCAAAAGACGCACCCAGTAATGTTCGTTTCTAGCCTTTCAAAAATAGGAAAACAAATTTGAGTTTTGTACTTCGCTCCACAAAAACGCTTAAATACAAATTTTGACCAGTCATTAACTATAAAACATGTTTTGGAAGAGTGGCATTTTACATCGCTAGGTTAAAATATGTAGGAATACCCCAGAATATATCAGCATCCCTGGGAAAGTAAGAAGAAATCATTACTAAAGTTATCAAGTTCCTAGACAATGAAAAAAATCATAAAACATATATGACAAGTTAATAACTAATGATCCATTGCAGATTAATTTATTTTTTAAATTCGAAAAGTTCATTTATTTATTAATTAATATTGTTATTTATTTAAATTTATTTATTTATCTATTCTATCTTATTATCTATCAGTGTCTATTATTATCATTATTTATTATTTTATTCCATTAATTTTTTATTTTATTTTTATCCTTTTTCTAATTTTAATTTTTGAACAGTATAAAAGTATTTATTTAGTTGATGGAGCTCTGATGACATGGATGTTTTGAGCCTAGACATCGAAACAAACACATTTTGATAGCAATAAAAAAAAAATCAGAACTCCTTGGGCATATTGAAAAGAAGAGTAATTTTGTTATCATATTTCAATGTTTTTACTATGTATACTTTTACATTCATCATTTTCCTGATTTTATTCTGTACTTTAATTACTGTTACCTTAGTTATATAACCTTCTTACTGTTACCTTAGTTACATAATCTTCTTACTGTTTACCTTAGTTTCATAATCTTCTTACTGTTTACCTTAGTTATATAATCTTCTTACTGTTTACCTTAGTTATATAATCTTCTTACTGTTACCTTAGTTATATAACCTTCTTACTGTTACCTTAGTTTCATAATCTTCTTACTGTTTACCTTAGTTATATAACCTTCTTACTGTTACCTTAGTTATATAACCTTCTTACTGTTACCTTAGTTATATAATCTTCTTATTGTTACTTTAGTTATACAATCTTGTTACTGTTACCTTAGTTATATAATCTTCTTACTGTTTACCTTAGTTATATAATTTTCTTACTGTTAGCTTAGTTACATAATCTTCTTACTGTTTACCTTAGTTATACAATCTTGTTACTGTTACCTTAGTTATATAATTTTGATACTGTTATTCTGCACTCGTATTACCGTTAAACTTTTATATTTATTATTTTACTCATGTTATTTTATATATTGTAATTTGTAGGCCAGAAGGATGACCCAGATGTTTGGTTCAAAACGTCGGCTAACCTAATACAAATTATGACAATTTTGTTTCATCTTAAAGTAGTATTATAGATTACCTCAATCTAAGAATAAAGAATGGTGTAATTATTTTTTATCAGTTCCTTTTCATTTTATTTATTTTCAGTTGATAATCAAGTTATTACTAACCTCAAAATCAACGGTGGATTACCACTGCTGTGTTCTCCTCAAGATGAAAACGAAAAACGTTATTCAAGTAAAATAAAACTTAACATATATTTTTACTTTAAGAACATTGAAAATGTTTCAGGTATTTAACAAAAATCTTTCAACGTTTAAGAAACTTCTTTATTTAAAATATCTATAAAATGATTAAAAAAAATATATTTTCTCTCTGGATAAGAGATACTGCCCAAAGAGTGATCATATTAGCTTTAAAAAATGAATAATACCTTAGCCTCCTTTCTTCACTCTAAAAAAAATTATAATGTTTTCGATAAGTCTTCTTCACATCTAGACGGTCTCTAACCGGCTCCAAGACCTGAGTCACTCCCAGATTCTTGAATGTTCTTTAAAACGGGATCGGTAATCTCCTTGCGTTGCATCTCCTGGAATAACCATATCTCCCAGATTACCCGGAAATCCATAACTGTCCTTAAACAACTCCTAAGATTCCGTGATTGTATTCCTCTAAAAAATAGACAGCTACTTACGTTATAACCTTCCTTATATTCCCCCACTTCGACTAAGGCTGCTTGGTGTATGGAGGGCTATCTGCCAGGCTAGAAGACTGAAGAAACTCATGAACTGTTTCATAAGATACATATTTGGGATCCCCAGGCGTTCTCATATTTCTGGAACACCGAGTTGAATTGGCTTTATGCTACATCCCGACGACAATTCCTCCTCAGTGTTTTCCTTTTCCAAGTCTTCAGAACCAAAACCCCTCCCTACATCCTGGAACTCCTTACTCTACGCTCCTCTGTCCACTCTCTTAATACCAGAGCTCAACCTATAGATTTATGTATCTCCTTCCATAAAACTACTTCCTTCAGCAAGTCATTCGTGCTACCTCCTTTTGGAATGCTTTATCCAACCTCCATACGTCAATTCTTGTCCACAAATTCCTTCAAACAACCTGTTGACCACCTACTCCTTATTCTAACTTCCTCGAACATGTAAGCTTTACTTGCATCTGTACACTCTTTCATTCAATCAAATGTGCAGTTTTTTTGCGCAATAACAATCAACAGTCAATTATTTATGAGACTAAGACTCATAAATATGTAACCCTGTTATTATGCTTAGGGGACTGTAGTCCCAGAATAAAATTATTTTTCAATCATTCATCTATCTTCTTTGGTGTCATATTTAGTGTTCTGGTGTTACCTCCATCTTCTTAAATGTCCTTCCACGCAGCTGATCAGTGCGCATCCTCCAATGAGAGTTCAAATCAGGTGATTACACACGAAATCGTAAAGGAGCATGTGCTTCTTGAATTATCACTTTTTTTTCCAAGTTCTTCTGCAACACCTGGATTAGCCCTTGTCAATTAAGCTAAACGTTTAATCATCCCTCCAACTCCTTTCATCTAACTTGTGATTATTGTGCATGCTGTTACTCAACGGGTTCGAGCGAAGTAAATGTGGTTGTGTTCATAATTGCTTCTAGAGAAGCTGTTGTACCATTTTCTAACCATTTATTTTGAAGTACTTGATAATAACGAGCTTCCTGTAGCTAGATTTATTTTTTTAATGTTTCTTTTCGTTCGAGAATGGTACAAAGCTTTTTATGTCTATCCAGGCCTACTTTATGTAAAATCCTTGTAGATGTGCATATCAGATGGCAAGCGAAGATATGTTATATCGACGTGCATTGGACTGCAGTATATAATACCTAAATTATTAGCCTCTCATATTCCTGTACATACCAATAAGAAACAGTTATTATTGGCAGCAACGCCACACACATGAAAATCCTTTATGCCAGAAATAAGACTAGGAGGGAGATTTAAAAGGTTAGAATTAGCAAATAAATAAATATAAACATAAAAATAAGCAACATTAGGATGACAAGCTGATTAATCAGGATATAATATACTACAAAACTAATTAATTTTTTAAGAGTTTGGTTATGCTATCGTCTCCTTTAGAAACTGCTAAATCTATTAGAGATTCGCCTGCATTAGTTTTTGTACTTTTATCAGCACCCTTATCAATCAGTATCTTAGCACTTTGGAAATGGTTCCAAAATACCGCTTCATACAATGGTGTCTTGCCCTCATCATTTCTGGCATTGATTTCTGCACCTTTATCGATGAATATCATCACTAAATCTGAGTGTCCTTTGGAAGCTGCAGCATGAAGAGGTCTCCAATTTCCTGGTTTCATTTTAGCTTCGATATCAGCACCTCGACTTATCAATAACCGCACGGCATCCGTCCGCCCCCAGAACGTGGCTTCCCACAAAGGCGTTTTATCGCCATTGGCTTTCGCATTCACGTCGACTCCTTTGTCGAGAAATATTTTTATCAATGACAGATAGCCCGCAAGACAAGCCGCGTGTAAAGGGATAAAACCATCCTTGGTCTTCATGTTTACGTCAGCTCCCTTCTCCACGAGGAATTGAGCCGTATCGACCTGTCCCTGGCGGGTGGCATGGAATAACGAGGTAGTGTTATCACTGTCCTGGACGTTTATATCCATTCCAATGTCGAGGAACATTTGGACTACAGAAAGGCGACCGGAGTACGCAGCCGTGTGCATCGCCGTCCTACCGTCTTTTTTCGTTTTAGCATAAATGTCGGCTCCATTGTCAATCAAAAATTTAACAACATCACTGTTCCCCAAATGAGAAGCTTCAAACAATGGTGTTCTTTCATCGAGTGTTTCTTTTACATTCACGTCCATTCCTTTTTCTAGGAACAGCTTGACTATGGCAAGATGACCATTGGATGCAGCGCGATGAATAGCCAACCAACCAGCATCCTTCGACCGGATGTTTATGTCGGCACCTTTTTCGATCAAAAACTTCACAATATGGTCATGCCCCCAAGTGGCAGCTACGTAGAGTGGGGTTTCATAATTATTATCCTTGGCATTGATATCAACGCCATAGAGGACGAAAAGTTTTACTATAGAAAGATGCCCTCCCTGAGAAGCAGCATGGATTGGCAAAAAACCACTTTTGCTCTGCAACCTCATATCCGCACCGTGGCTCAGTAACAGCTTAACCACCGCCTCATGGCCCTGGAAAGAGGCTTCAAAAAGTGGAGTTCTGTTTTCAATATCGTTGACATTGATATCGACTCCCCTGTCGAGGAACAGTTCAACGATTTCAACATGACCTCTGTGAGCTGCGGTGTGTATCGCCAACCAACTCCCTTGCTTAGTCCTAGCACGAACATTGGCTCCTCTATTGATTAAGAAAACTACCATCGGGTAGTGTCCCCAATACGAAGCCTCAAACAGAGGAGTTCTGTCATCAAAGTTAGTGACGTCTATGTCGACACCTCTTTGGAGGAAGAGGTCGACAATCTGCTCATGGCCCTTGGTCGCTGCGGTGTGGATGGCCAGCCAACCGTCGGCTTTTGTCTTGGCCGAGATGTCAGCTCCTCTCTCGATGAGAAGGCTCACGGCGGCAGCACGGCCCCAATGCGAGGCCTCGAACAGTGGAGTCTTGTCATCTTCAGCCTTAGCGTCGACATCCAATCCCCTTTCCAAAAGAAGTTTGATCAACGAAGTGTTTCCGTTTCTCGCTGCTGCGTGCAATGCATTCCATTTACCAGCTTTTGTTTTTGTGTTGATATCAGCACCTCTGTCCAAAAGAACCCTGACAATAATAACGTGTCCTGCCGTCGCCGCTCTGTATAGAGGAGTCTGGTGATCCTCGTCGATGGCATTCACGCTGACGCCACTTGCGAGAAATTTATTGACCAATCCCAAGTTACCATTGGAAGCTGCTTCGAGAAGCTTTTCCGCCATTGGTGTTCCTGATGGACCTTGGTCGACATATTGGGCGCCCCTCGCGAAGAGCACATTGACGGCGGTTATGTGACCTGCTGTTGATGCTAATAACAGAGGAGTCCTGTCTTTGAAATCCCGAGCATTAACATCCGCCCCTTTGTCAATCAGGAAGTGGATCACAGAGAGGCTTCCGGTAGCAGCTGCTTCGTGCAAAGGCGTTCTTTTTTCAACGTTTGTTTCGTTGACGTTAGCGCCTCTCTTGATCAACATCTGTACTATGCTGGAATCTCCTTTTTTCGCGGCTTCATGGAGGACAGTTGACCCGTCAATTGATTTGGCATTAACATAAACGCCTTCTTTCAGTAAAAATAACACCATATTGTTGTGGCCTCTCCTAAGAGCATTGAATAGAAATGTCTCTCCATCGGCGTTAGTCGCAGTGACGTCTGCTCCGAGGTAGATCAATATTTTAGACAGCAATTCGTTTCCTTCATCAATCGCAAGTCCCAATAGCTTTGACTTCAAAGCTGATGTTATGCTCGTCTTCCCTCCGTTGTAAACCAGTAACTCAACTATTTGCGATTTAGATTCCAACAAGTCTACATCTATGCGATTTAAGTTATTTCTTTTGTTAATGTTGTTATATTGAGACAGAGAAGAATACATGAGAGAGACTTCCTCTTCGGTATCTACCGGTATGGAGGAGTTGGCTCTCCTGAGAAGCTGTAAGACGCCGTTGATGACGAAGTGCTCGGCGACATGCATCGGAGTCAGTCCGTCGGTGTCCTTCTTGTCGATGAGGGACCCAGCTTCGATAAGAGCTCTGGCGATCGATATGTCGCCGATATCGGCCGCCGCGTGCAGGGGTATATCTCCTAGAGTGGTTTCTATGTTCACGTTTGCTCCCCTGTTGATAAGCAGCTCAACTGTTTTCAAATCACCGTTGTTCACGGCCTTATAGATCGGGGTGGTGCTGAGGGAGTCAACGCTGTTTATGTCAGCCCCAGCTTGGAGCAGCTTTGTAATCGTTTCTGGAGATTTGGACTCGGAAGCCGAGTGCAAAAGAGTGTTATTGTCCACGTTCGAGAGATGGACTAGGCGGTCCATTTTGTCAGATGTCAAGAGGACTCCCCTGTGGATGAACAGCTTCACGATGTCCTGATGATCGTTGTCCCACGCCGCTTCCAAGCAGCTCGTCAAATCAGAATTCGATTCTTGTGACTTTAACAACCAATTAACAACAGACTTGTCTCCCCTCCTCGCCGCTTCCGTGATTAAAGGAAATGAATCCATAATTCTTACAACTTCTGCTTTGATCGGTTCTGGTACGGTTACCAATCCTCTAGATCTACCATTTACGATGGCATCGACAATGAGGTACATCTTATCGGATGGAAATTGGAAATTGTTCCTAGTAAATTTATTTAAAATAGGGTCTTTTCCAGTTTTCAAGAGAGAAGCTAGCTCAAGAAGCTGGTTAGAGTGAGTTGTGTCGTTCGTGGTGAGTGAATGGAGAACTTGTAAAAACGTGTATTCATTGGGTTCAATACTCGATAAAAAGCTGCTGGAGTCGGTCTTCGAGTACTGGAGAAGCTCTTCTACGGCCATTTTGAATTTGTTGCCGAGCAATTGTAAGAGGTCGGAATAGAACTGCTCGTGCGAAGCGTACCCTCCGAGCAGGTAAGTTTCCCCTTGCGGTGTCTTGATGAGCAATTCTTCTTCAGCCTAAATCATAAGAGTCAATTTTAAACTTCTTATTATTGTAATATTGAAGAATATTGGTAATCCATAAAAAATATTGGTAATGAATAGAATAATAACTACTTATTTGAAATAATCATTATGGTATTGATAATGTTTGGCCTAATAATACAAGTTATGAAAGATGGATAAAAGTGGCTATAATTATTGAAATAAGAGTTCCCTACAATACAGAGACAGGATTTCCAATTTGATTAGGCTGTGGTGCAATGCAAATCCAAATAGTGCCAGGGATTCATATATCAATGACAATTAACACTATCATTATTGCACTATAGTCACACACTATAGTTATTGCAAAACAATAATACTATATATTTAAAAATGTATATAAATGATTATATATTCGTATTTTTTTTTACATCACAATATTAAGTTATTAAACATTTTTATACATTTGACAAGGGGAAAAATGGGCACCCTCAAGGAAATGTCTAGTAAATAAACAAATAATTAGAACCTCTTTCAATGACAAAAAAAAAAGAAAGAATACAGTAATTATTTTCAGATCGTTATGATTAGAAGATATACAGGATATCCCGTAAGGAGCGGAAAATATTTAAAAGGTTGAAAAAGACATAGATCTACAAAAAAGTTTATAAAAACAATAGCCCAATTTCAAGCAGAAAAGTAGCAAATTTTAGATTTATTTTTCAAGCAAGTCACGTTTTTTGTTGAAATGGAAGCGATGCCTTAAAAAATATATGATTTAAGTAATTAAATATTGCTCCATAGTAAACTAGAATAAATTTACTTTAAACGAAAGTGCAGTTTATCATTGTTAAAAATATTTAAAGAGGAATATTTGTCGGACAAACACAGATAAGTTTCGTTTAAAAAAAAAATACAAATTTATTTTCTCTTTTTATCGCCCTTTAACTGTAATACATTTATCCCACTTTTAGAAAAACTTCCTCGTCTAATAAGCTTTGAAACCATGTAAATTAAGTTGAGCTTTATTTGGCAAAAACTTGAGATTCAGCTCAAGTTTTGAAAACAAACGATGTGATTTCCTACCCAGTAATCTTAAAGTAACCTTGTTTTCGACAAAAAATACTACAATTAACTATAGCAAAACTTTTATTTCTTGTTTTCCCGTGATATGGGATGTATTGTAATAAACATTATTGCCTAAAAACACATTTTATAATAAATATAAAATAAATAAATTTAAAAATAAAGATTATTTTAATATTTTTCACATAAAGTTGTTATGAAACTATGTTTTTCTCCCAGATCTCTGTCATAGGAATTGAAATGTATTTATCAGTAGCAAACTTAATGTTTCTTTTAGTAAAATTTACGTTTGAAATATAGAAACTTACCGACTGCTTCAATCATTTTCATGAAAACGTAAATATTATGGCTAGAAACATTAACTTTGTCACTTATAAATACCCATCAATTTCTATGACAGAAATCTGAGAGATAAACACAATTTCATTCCTAACTTACATGAAAAATATTTAAAGAATCATTATTTTAACATTTCTTATTCTTATAAATAAAATGTATTTTTAGGCACAGTACATCCGATATCACGGAAAAACAAGGTATAAAAGCAAACGTTCATTGTAGTCATTTTTGCTTAAAACACGTGTACTTTAAGGTTGACAGGATAGAAAACCACATTATTTATTTACACAACTTGAGGTGAATCTCTAATTTTTTCTTAATAATCCTCAACTTAATTAACATGGACTCAAAGTTCACTAAACGAGCAAGTTTTCCTAAAAGGAGAGTAAATGAAAATATTTATTATCCTGGGACTGTTGTCACTTTAGGACAAATTATAGAGGACTCATTAAATTAGGACACATTAAATTAAATATTTACAAATCTAATTAAAATTATAATATTGGAAATTTTTTTTTTTTTTTTATTTCTTTATGATATTTACAACTGTATTACATAAATACATCAAGTAAATTTGGACATAATTGATATAATGACATGAATACACTTGCTGAGTAACTACCCAATGGTAGCACTCTAATGATATGACTACATTAGGAGATCACGGGGCCATCTTCTTTTCAGACGCCTCGGAGGGTTATCAGGAATTGAAGAGGAAGCAAGGTTAGAAACGAGAGGGTTGGGATGATTCTGAAGTTTATTATGGAAGGATAGGTATCTGGATTGGGCCAGATCTGAAACATAAGAAACATTAAGATCTTTATGGATAATTTTATTAGTGACAAAGTAAGGAGCAGTGAGGATTTTACGAAGGATTTTGGATTGTAAGGATTGGATGGGAGAGGAATTCGATGGTTTAGTGGAGTCCCATAACTCAACTCCGTAACTCCAAATAGGTCTTATTATAGTCAAGTATATGAGTCTTTTGTAATTAATGGGAAGTTTAGAGCGTTTGTCTAGTAAGTGCTGAAGTAGTCGGAAACGTCGAGCGGTTTCTTGTTGTTTCAGTCTAGTATGAGGATTCCAAGTTAGTCGTTTGTCCAGGTGGAGTCCTAGGTATCGGATTTGCTCAACAGGGATAAGTGGAGTATTGTTAAAGGAAACTGTAGGACAGGAAGTCGTTTGTTTACGACATTGGAAAAATAAAACAACATAAGTAAAGAAAATCATTTCTGGGAGAACTTAAAAAGTTCTCTAATGTACATTTCGTTATCAATCGGGTTGAGAAAGGAGTAGCTGCTTAAAAAGGAAAGATGTAAATGAGAAAACTGATACAGGGATGATATTCCAAACGCAGTTCGGTGAGGAGGTGGATAGAGGTTGGAAGAACGAGATCTAGTGGGACGAGATTGAATGTAATATTTAAATTGTAGGCTGTGAAAAATATAGGAAGGTCGCTGAGTTCCGATGGCTTGGTATAGAAAGATAACAAGGAAGTACAGACGGCTTTGGACAGGATAGAGCCACTTCAACTTGGTGTAATACTGGGTTATATGCGTATCTCTTGAGATTCCGAAAACAAAACGTATTGCTGCGCAGTTCATTAGGCGTTTAAGTTTGGCCTCGAATTCTCCAGAGGGTCCGCCGTATACCAGATAGCCATCATCGAAGTAGGTGAAAACAAGAAAGGAAACCAGGAGTTGACGGCATTTATATGGAATGAGATAGCGGAGACAGTTAAACTGTTTCAGGATAAAGATAGTAACGTGCTAAATAGAAAAACAAAATCCTAGAGATTCTAAATGTCCAACGGAGAAGTTTATAACTATAATAATTACAGCGGCATAAGCAAAAATCAACAAAATTGCCCTATTACCATCACCGGTGCGCTTACCCTATTAGAAAAAACATAAGAAAATGAATTTTGGGGTCCCCTTTGATTATACAGAGAATAAAAAAAATTCAAAATTATGATTTGGTCCCTTGGCTTATTGTTAATAGAAAATAATGCTAATTGAAATATATACTACATCTACTTTATTTAAAAAGTTGTTATTATTTATTTATGATATTTACAACTATATAAAGAATTAAAATACATTTAATAAATTTTATAACAGAAAATAATAACATGTAATCACTTGTTGAGAAATTACCCACTGGTAGCACCCGAAAAAAAATGTATTTACTATATGAGATCTCAAGGTTAGAAAGAGAGGATTCGGATGGTTATGAAGTTTAATATGGAACGATAGATATCTGGGTAGCATAAAGCATAAAGAACATTAAGGTCGTTATGGATTATTTTATTCGAGACAAAGAAAGGAGCATCGAGGATTTTCTTAAGGATTTTTTATTGTAAGGATTGAATTAATGAAGAATTTGATGGCTTTGTGATGCCCCAAATCTCAAGTCCGAAAGTCCAAATAGGTCCTATTGTAGTCATGTATATGAGTCTTTTGTAATTAATTGGAAGTTTAGAGCGTTTGTCTAGTAAGTGTTGGAGCAGTCGGAAACATCGAGCGGTTTCTTGTCGTTATAGGTATCGGATATGTACAACAGGGGTAAGTGAAGTATTATTAAAGGATACTGTAGGACAGGAAGTCATAGATTATAAAGTTAAATATGCTTCCAATCAATAAGATGAAAAAACGTTTAAATCGAAACATTTTGATAAAAATTTGTTTGGCAGGAAGACTTTTTCAGACCACTGTATATTATCTAGGATAAGATTAGATGCCTAAGATCAGCAAAGAATACTCACCACAACATAACTGCTCAAGAAGAACACACCCAACAAAATGCAACGACCGTCCATGACAAATGTATTTTCTGAAACAATAAATTTATGTTATCATTTTATCTCTTATAATTGAGAAGTAATCTTTAAGATATAATATTAGCAAAGTAATAAATTCACAAAATCCTTAAGGTACTATTTCGTTGCTACTGCCCACAGCAGCGACTGCTATTTCACGCTGCCAACCGCTATTGCATAGCTATTTCACTGAAACTGCTCCCAGGGGTTGTTATAGCCTGCCTATAACCTTCCAACATTTCGTTATATCTTCGAAGATAAAAAAATTGGTCTTCCTATCTCTTACTACCGCTTTTTTATTAGAAGAGGAAGAAGAAGAGGGAATTTTGTTGATAAGGAGACGAAATATCAGCAATATATTCCCAACAAGAAAGTGGGAAGGGTTTTATACGAAATTGATAACTAACCATTTGATGGCTGAGCACTAGCGGATCCAGGATTTAATTTTGGGGGAGCTTCAGCCCGAAAGATTTTTTTTTTCATAAATCTTCAGAAAAATAATTTGAAAAAAAAAGAAAGAAATTAACTATCTATATGACATGTTGTTTAAGCGGTTCCTGAAGTCCTGTTAAATGTAATTACAGGAACAATAATACTTTAAGAGATAGTTTTTAATATTTTTTTCTGTAAGACATGGTTATATTTTACCATTTTAGGGGGGGGGGAGGGGAGCTTCAGCCCGGAAGCCCCTCCCCCTCCCGCTGTAGATCCGCCTGTGTGGCTGAGGAAGAGAAATTCAGAAATTTTTGTAGATTGAATAAATGTCAATTTAGTTTTGTTTTGAGTATGATAGAAAATAATATAGTAATTATTACATAATTGATTAGTAATAAATATCGTATATTTTTGTAATGAAATCACAGCAGGCCATGTTTTATCAATAGTAATCAGTAAATCACCACTTTAATATAAAAAATACAAATCATGTATTTTAGCATTTACCTGACGTTAAAATTTGTAGAATTATTTGATTTATTTAAAGTGATTTGGATTTAGTTATATTTGAATTCCTTTATTATTTATTGAATAAATCAATAAATAAAAAAGGATGGAGGTGGTCCGGGGTGGCGGTCATAAATAGGCTAAATAGTGGCAAAACTATTTTATTAAAAGCCTACGTTTCGACCTGACTTTGCAGGTCTTCTTCAGGGAGGTGTGTTCAGCTAGGAGTTTCACTTAGAACTAAACTTTAGAGTTTTAAGTGACACGTTGGCTTTTAATAAAATAGTTTTGTCACTATTTAGCCTATTTATGACCGCCAAACCGGACCGTCTCCTTCCTTAATAATACAACGGTCAACTATTAAGTATTCAATAAATAAATAATCTTGTTACTTCAAGCTTAAAGAAATAATTTACTATTACGTTGTTTAAGTTTTATACAATATTTCTTATATTTTTGCCTGACTTGAAAGAAAGATAAGAAATAAAACGTATACAGGTGACTGCTATCATCAAAACAATGCTCCGATATGATAACATAATCTAGAACCGCCAAAAGCTTCAGTCATACCTCGACTGCCGAGCACCGCCAAAGAAATAGGTCCATTCTATTCCACTAAAACAGTGCTCAAACGCCAGCAGTCGCTACTTGAAAATCAGCCATTTAAGCCTTGTTAGATAACATCAATCAGAATAAAAACCTACATTTTATTTTAAACTGCTCAATTTTACATTGATATTATAAATTTAATCAAAATCGTTAGAGCTGTTTCTGAGAAAATCGTAAAAATGTGTTTAGTCAATGATATAATGATATATACATCCTAAACATATAAAAACCTTAAACATGCAATTTCACGTTTTCGTGAGACTTTTCGTTTTTGAGCTAGACTCTCAACATACACACACACAAGACCGTTTTGCGGGACTAGGTTATTTCGACTCAGGCAGGGGACCTCAAAATATGTATTTCCGTATATGTAATTTTTTAAAATTTATTTATTTAATGAAATTTACAACTGTATAGACAAAGCAACTAGTAAAAATGTAATACAATTAGAAATAATGACATGAACAGACTTGAAGAGATACTGCCCAGTGGTAGCACTCCCTATTGAATTCAAGGTGAGAAGATCACGAGGCCATCTTCTTTTCAGAGACCTAGAGGGATTATCAGGAAGAAGCAAGGCTGGAAACAAGTGGATTCGGATGGGATTGGAGTTTATCATGAAAGGATAGGTATCTGGCTCGGGCTAAATCAGCGACGTTGGGATATAATTAAATGAATAACTTACATAACACCGTTAAATAAAGTTTAAAATTAAATGAAAATGGGGTCAATGAGTGCCGTATAATACGGCCTCAAGGAAAAAACAACTTTTATTTACTTGTTTCACTAATATTACCCTCTCTAAGTAATTAAATATAATATTTAAATGTCATTATAATTTCATAAGGGTAAATTAAATCGAAAGTATACGGTTGAATCTTTATGGCTTGATATGTATCAGCTATTCTTAATATAATCTTTAAAATTAATCGAAAACATGCATATTTTTTCGTCGTTTTACATGTCTCATTTCGTCGACTTGAGGCCTCTACGATCGAAATAGGAGGAGTTTATATTATTTATCGAAGGTGTCTTTTATCGGCAAGCCATATCATCGTTAATTCTTCACCAAATCTCAAGATTGAGCCACCAATTTCGAAAGCTTCCTTCTCCTTCTGGCTGGAAAAATAGTCCAATCACCCCAAAAATTCAGGCAAACAAGTTGTGAAAGAAAACAAACTTTATTTGCAAATAACTAAAAAATTGCACACTTTTCCCATGGTTATGGCCATGATTATGTAATAGGCTACAAAATTCTCTGAAAAAAAAAGACAATTTTTAGCAAAGATACATGAAATTATTGAAATTTTTAGACATGTTGGTTCCAAACATTAATGAAATTTTAAATTAATTTTTGTTTCCTTTATCGATTATATTTATCGACAAAATAACATTTGATTTCCGTATCTTTTGATACGTTGCATTATTTTATTTTCTTATTAATTTGGCATTTGATCACTAACAATATGCTGTGCGAATTTTTCGCACGGGCCTACTAGTTATAAATAATAGCTCATTATTAAGAGGGTCAAATGCTCCCTCGCTTGCAGTATGCAGGTCCTATTTTTAGTTTCTGAATATATTTTAATCTATATATTCATTAAAACTGTGTATCTTTGGTTTTAGACATTATCATTTTCCTTTTTGCCTCTCAAACATGGCGTCGCGTTACGATACAATTTTGAATAATAGTTCATTACAAAGAGGATGAAATGATGAACATTTCTCTTGCCAACAATAAGTAGGTCTGATTTTTAGTTTTTGAAATATTTTAATCCATATGCAAAAACACTTCAATTAGTCGACTCCAGCCGACTTTACACGAGCGTTTCACATCGGAGATCTGACGGCTCAATCTAATTCTCTCTCTACAAAAAAAAAAAGTGTAAAACGCATCTAAAGAAATTGTCACTTCAAAAATAATAAGATCTATGTTTAAAAATAAAATCTTGGAAAGAAGATTTTTTCGAAATACATTAATATCTCAATATCAGAGAGTTCGATATCTACGAGTTTTGATCATCAGGAAATAGAAAAACGGGGAAGAGATTTAGATTTGTGGATTCTACATTTGCCTATTATTACAAAAGAAATTACGAACTTAAACAATTCCTACTGCACTAGGTATGTTCATATTTAACATCCATATCTGCCTTCTGGATATGTCTCCAATCGTAAAATGGATGGGATAAAACTCGAAAAAGAAATCGATTATCAGTTAAAATGAAGTAAATTTAAAGAACAACATAAGAATATAAGTGGGATTTACAAATTATATAAAAATAATGTATATGCATATTTAAAATTTATTTACGCCTAAAAAAAATTTGCTTGAATTGGATCAGACTACAGTTAGTATTTAGGCTACATTAACACACCATTTCGCAAAAATTATAGTGTGAGATTATGCTACAACTATTCAAGGACAGGTATTAATTTTAAAAAATCGTTTGAGTATTTTTTCCGCCTTTGCTACCCTGTACCTCGCTGTGAGAACAAAATCTTACTAACGAATAACTTAAAAAGATGGGCAGTTAAATTTTCTTTAAAATAAAACATCGCCATCGAAGCAGAATCAACAGCAGGCTTTTTGAATGTTGCATACATTTTTTAAAACGTTTCCTGTCCACGTACTCATAGAAATATCTTGCCTATTAGAAATATACATACTCATACCTTTAATTATGTTTAGTTTTATTTTTAAATTATAGGTATAGACTTACAATGTAGGACGAAACGTTAAAAATACTATTATGTAATATAGTATTTTATATATTTACTACAACTACCAGACTAACTTCTTCGAAATTTTCATCAATTATAAGTAGAGTTTGTCTTTGTTAAATCCATTTAAAGGGGAATTTATGCGGATAAAAGAGGATTTGGTTACCCTCCAATTGGACTAAAGATATCACACTTTCAAACAAAAAACTGCTTGTACAATAAGGTTTAAGTTGATATAAATTAAATTGAGGTTTTTATAAAAATACGATGAAACATTGTGCGATTTGATATCCAGTCATTCTGTGGTTTCAGCAGAAATAATTACAATAAATTATTAAAATGCTATAATTTATTTTTTCCTGTATCCAACACTGTCATCACCACCTATGCCGATGACACGTGTATCCTATCAGTTAATAACGATCCATCTATTGCATCCCAAACTCTTCAATCCCACATCACAAGTCTTGAAAAATATTGTGTCAAAACTGAAGGATTAAAATAAACTCCAATAAATTATATCAAATTACCTTTACTCTTCGTTGTGAACCTATGACTTCCTGCCCTACAGTATCCTTCAACGATAGCCCTCTTATCCCTGTTGAAAAACTCCGATACCTAGGACTCCATTTCGACAAATGACTCACTAGGAACCCCCATATCAGACTGAAACGACTATAAACCGCCTGACGTTTTCGGCTACTGCAGCATTTACTAGAAAAACGCTCTAACTTCC